ATGAGTTTTTGTACATTCTGCCAATGACTGTCTTCTGATTGGAGAGTTTCACACATTTCCTGATGGAGGAGGAACTTTCAAATCATTTCAGTTTCTGTATGGATTATCACATTTCAACTTATTCATTCATTACTGTCTTCTTTTGTATTTATTAAATTTCTTTTACAGTAAAATGTTTAAATTTCTTCCTTATTTCCTCTTTGTGTATATTCTATAGCTATTTAATTTTGGGTACCAAAATGGAGATTATGTCTAATATTCTAAAGTTATGGCATTCTAATTTGAATTTAAGTTGGTTTAAAATCTTATGCTTTGTATCCCTTTCAACTGTTGATATCATAAAATTACATCTTTATACACTTTATGACTAAAGTATAAACCAATAGTGCTTAAATGTATGAGTCTTTCAAATTAAACAAAAACAAGATGTGGAATTTCAAAGCATAAGTATGATACTAGTTTTTAGATTAATAATTTTTAATGTATTAGATCCTTATTCATGTAGAAAAAAAAGAAGTAGAATTATTAACTGTTGGTTTAATAATGCTAGCTTTTATGATCGCCTATGTATTTACATTTATTAAGACCTTTATTTCTTCATGTGGCTATCTAGTGTCCTTTCATTTCACCCTACACTGCTCCTTTAAGTATATATTTCAGCACAGGTCTGATGGCAACAAACTCCCTCATCTGATTATCTGGGAAGGTCTCAATTTCATCCTCAGATTTGAAGGACAGTTTTGCTGGATATAGTATTCTTGACTCAACAGTATTTTTAAAGCACTTTCCATATATTGACTCATTGCTTTTTATTAGCAAATGTTTTGCAAATAAAAAGAGCTTTTTGAAAGCAATAAGATAGGAAAGTTAACCAAGCAAACAAAGCATATGAGAGCTAGGGTGACTTTATTAATAATAGTAAAGGTAGACTTCAAAACAAGTGTGAAAGTTAAAAGGGTCATTCTGAAATTACAAAAGTGTTAATTCATCAAATAGATATTCTAGTAGTAAACACATATTTATCATCAGAACTTCAAAAAGGATGAAGCAAACACTGACAGATCTAAGAGAGAGGTAGACAAAGTTACAATTATAATACAAGATATTTTTATACCTATTAATATTTGAGATAAAAATGAGACAAAAAGTCAGTAAGAGTATGGAAGCTGTCAGGGACACTACCAAAAAACTTGACCTAATTGATAGTTACAAAACACTGCACTCAACAACTGCACATTATTTTCAAGTGCACATGAATAATTCAAAAAGGTAGAAAATATATAGACTAAGTTTCCATAAATGCCAAAAGATTGAAATATTATAGAACATGTTCTTGATGATGATAGAATTAAATTATAAATCAGTTTTAGTAAGATGTCTAGTGAAGTCCTAAATTCTTGGAAATTAAAAAAAATTATAGCACATGAGTTAAACAACACATATAATTAGATAAAATTTCAAATCAAATAGAAATGAAAATGTAACATATTGAAATTTGTGAAATGCAACAAAGAAATGTCTAGAAAAAATGTAAAGCATTATATTTGAACAGAAAAAAGATTTAAAACCAACTATCTAATTCTCTTAAAAAACAAAAACAGGTAGAGAAATTAAACCAAAGAAAGTAGAAGGAAGATAATAAGCTGATTTCTTAGAAAAATTAATAAATTTTTAAGTAACTAGTTATAACGATGTGTTGAAAAGAGACCATACAGTTATCAATATTTGGAATGAATTAGGAGATGTAAAACAGATACAATACATAATAAAATGTTAATAGGGAATGCTATGATGAAATGTATGGCAATAAAGTTAAAAACCTACATAGAATGGACAGATTCTTTAAATAATATAACTTATCAAAATAAATTCAAGAAAAAACTGGATATCTTAATAGTGTTATATCTACTAAATAAATTATAATTATACAAAAATAAACCTTCCTAAATAGAAAATATCAGGCCTACAGGACTTCCCTGTTGAATGATATAAAAAATTTAGGAAGAAATAATACTACTCTTACACAAAGAATAAATAATAAAATAAGGGTTGAGAAATGCATTGATTTAGGAAGGCCACAAGACACACAATTAGTATACAAAAATCAATTGCATTTTTATAAACTGGCAGCAAATAATTGAGTGAAATTTTAAACAATTAATATCGTAAAATATTAAATAATGATAATTTTATAAAAAATTGCCCTCCAAATACAAAACATTGAGAGAAATTAAACAAATAAGTGAAGAGATATTCATGTTCATAGATTGTCAGACTGAATGTTTTCAAGAAGTCAGTTCTCTTCAAAATGACAGTCAGATTCAACCCAATAACAATTATAATTCCAATAGGAGAGTACACACACACAGGAATACACTGACACACACACATAAATTTTCCCAAAATTTATTCATCAAGTTTAGCTAAATATTTTGAAAAAGAAAAAAGTAAATTTGGAAAACTCACAATTCTTGTTTTGAAATTAACAAGCAATTTCTAGTAATCAAGAAGTAAAGTATTGGTTAAAGCTAGACAAATATATGGAACATAATATAGAGACCAGAAAGAGATTCATGCATGTTTAACCACATGATTTATAACAAAGACATCAAACAAATTTATTGAGGAAATATAAATTCTTCAGTAAGTGATGCTGGGCTAGGTAGACATTCAAAAAATAAATTTCAACTCTACTTAGCATTGCACACACAAATAATTCAAGATAAGTTATAGTTCCAAATATAAAAATGAAAAGGCAATTAAAATTCTAGAGGAAATAATAGGAGACTACTTTTGCATTTTAGAGAAAGGTAGATGTTTCTTCGAATGAACATAAAAAGCATAAATATTAAAGATTAAAAAAAGGTCAGATGTAAAATTCAGAATGTGTGCTCATCAGCACACTATTAAGAAAATGAAAAGGCAAATCAGAGTTTGAGCTAAAATGTTATATATATATCTTATCCCCAGAATATATTTATTTCACACACACACACAGGCAAGTATGTATATTTGTATATATTTTGCACACTCAATACAAACTTCTACAAATCAATAATAAAAGAGAACTCAATATAAAGCTATGAGTTATATTTACATAAATTGTGTAAGTATATAATATGCATATATAACACATACACATACAAATCCTACAAATTAATAAAGTCCTTCAAGTAAGTAATAAAAAACTTGGTATTAAAATATGGGCAAACACATGAAGAAGTGCTCTATATCAGTTATCACAGAAATGCAAACTAAAAACATCTCACTTCCACTAGAATGACCAGAATTAAAAAGACTGTCAACACCAAATTACTGTTGGTGAGAATGTGGAACATCTTTCCTACATTTCTGATGAGAACATAAAATGTTGTGATCATTTTGGGGAACTATTTAATAGTTTCTATACAGTTAAATGTTCATCAACTTTATGACACAGCAATTTCACTCCTAGTTATTTACAAGAATATTTATAAATACTTCATTCATAATGGCCCCAAATTATAAACAACAAAATTATTCATCAATCAAGAATGGGTAAATAAGTTGTGATTAATGTGATATTATGGATGAGTCTCAAAAAATAATATTAAAATAAATCAGACAAATAAACATGAAAACATGTTTCATATCACATTATCAGGAAAATGCAAACTCAAACAAGATACCATCACATGCTTATTAGAATGATGAAAATCTAAATCAGTAACAATACCACACATGTGCAAAGAGGTGAAGCAATGGAAACTCTCATTCACTGATTGTGGGGGTGCAAAATTTATAACTACTTTGGAAGACAGTTTGGTAATTTCTTACAAAACCAAATCTTTCCATATGATCCAGCACTGGATTTCCTTGGAATTTGCCCAAAGCAATTGAAGATTCAAGTCCACCAAAAAATTTTCACATGGATGTTTACAGAAGATTAATTCATAATTGCCAAAACTTGGAAGCAATAGTGATGTCCTTCACTAAATGGATGAATTAAATGTGGTATAGTAGACAATGTATTATTATTTAGGACAAAAAGAAATGAGCTCTCAAGTCATGACAGGATATGCAAAATCCTCAAATGTATGTTACTAATTTGTAATCATTGGAGGTAAAGAAAAGGCTAATTTGTTTACGAAAACTGAGAGGAAGAATTGAATATATCAGGAACAGGTGCCTGAGAGAAGGAAGCAGCTTTCTGGTTGTGTGGACAGATGGCATGAGTAGGAGCCTTGGTGGTGACCTGCTATGACTTTGAGGCCTTTCTGTATTGAAGTGTCTGGTATACATTTTTTCTATCCTTCCTGATTAGGTTCTACACAGGAAGACAGAGAATGCTGAAATCCCAAACCTGCCTTTCAGCTAGGTGTTTTGTTTTGGCAGATTCCTTGTCTAGAATGACAAGTGGTTGGCAGCAAAGCACTTAACTTCAAAGGCAAACTGAGCAGAGTCAGAGGCTCACACATGGCTCTGGTATCCAGGGCCACTACTGAGCAAACCTCTACCTCTCATCTCTTGTATAAAGCAGATGGAAGTACATTTCAGAAATCAGTGTATTTAAAAAAAAAAAATGAACCCCTATCCACTGGTCCATAGGAGTTCTAATGTAGTGCATTTTGAAGCCGAAGTTCTGACATAATTCTTTCTCTAGGTTTTTCTTTTCATACCTTATGTTCCCATGAAAATTGTGGAATTTAAATAGGATTATATGACTGCCATAGTAGCAAATATTCTCAAATATTTTTCTAGCAATCAGTTTTGAGAAAAAGGGTTAGTAGTCATTTTAAAAGCAAGTCATATTATCTTGAGAAAGCACCTCTTCTTAAGGAATACCTAAATCAGACGAAGCAATAATAAGCTATAGCATATAAAGGATTTACATTGAACATTTCACCTCTCTATCTTGATCATTTGAGTATACCAACCTCTGGAACCAATATCATTATACTTGCTTAGATCACTTATACAGCTTTAATTATTTCATTTTTCTATGAATGAGTCTACTGATGTAGAAGACTTCCAGTTATTTTTATAGAAGGAATTTCAAGGCTTCATAAAGAATCAGAGATGCATTAATGAAAACCTCTTTTTATGCCCACTCTCAGAAAACAGTCTTGTGGTCTGTCCTTATATTTGGGCATCTCTGAACCCAGAGTAGAATAGTCCTCACTGCCACCTCAGCTTGGCATTCCCAAGATTAGGATGACTGCATGTCCGGAGGGGCAAGCTGCCATCATTCCTATACAAATCATCACCCCAACCTTGCTGTGCCACAGTATCAGTAAGGGCAGTGAGATGAGAGCAGCACAGAACCATACCACATAGAAACAGAGAAAGAAGCCAAGTCAAGTGTATGAGGGCTTTGATATGGGCCTCTGGCTGGAGGTGTGTCTCTGGTTTGGGATTTCATTGTTCTCATGTGACCTCTCAGGAAGATAACCAGGAACCCTAAAAAAACTAGAAAATAAAGGAAAGGGGAGATAAATCCCACATTGCAGAAGATAAATGAATACAAGAAAATTGAGTTTTGTAATTGGCAAATTGAGTTCGGATTGTTCATGGATAACATCTGTGACTGTGAAGTGAGATATGCTAAAAAAGTTCCATAAACAGAGGACAATGCAGGTGCAGGAGAACAGCACACAGGAGCACCTGGGGGGATCTTCCTGGAGATCCAGCCTGTGCAGCAGAGGAAGAAGGTGTTGGAGAAACGGACAATCTTGGAGCAATACAAGAGACTAAGGCAGGTGATGAGCCAGAGGTTGACTTGGTGTGCAATCATCCACAGCATAATGACAGTTTGGTAGTTGTGATTCAGTGGGTCTTTCATCTGCTGGAAGAAAGTAAACTGGATGGCTCCGAGAAACAGCAGCCCATGCAGAAAAAGCCGGGAAATGCTCAGACACATCAGCACAAGGTCACAGTTGCTAAGTGGCTGTCTCTTTACCATGTCTCTAAAGTTCACCAAGAAAATGAATACATTGGCCAAGATCCCCACTGCAAACTCCAAGATTGGAAGGAACAGAAATGAATCTTGGCTTTATAGGACACAGTTAAGACAGGAGTCAGAGTCAACATGATGCTTCTCTTGGTGACTGGTTCATTTAAAACTCAGACACTACTCAGCAGAGAGGGCAAGAGTACATTCTGAATCAGGACTTTCCTTTACAAAACACTCAGATCTTCCCCTAGTTATGTCCCAAAGTGGGTACACTAAAAGCCCTGACAAGAATCTTTGAGGGATTTTGTTGCTTTAGAATGTTTCTTGGATACACGTGAAGGCTCATTATGAGGGTCGATGACTGCTGGTTCTACTCTTTGGAATAATGGAGAAGCGCTTCCTAAATCCAGGTGTTCCTGTACAGCAGTCTCCCCAGAGGACCACAGTATAGCATCAGAGATGCAAATGAAATGGGGTCTCAGTTTTCCAACCAGATAGGGTCCAGTTTTGCATGCCCATCTGGACTGGTGGGAGTGGAAACAAGAATTGGATTTGCTTATAGGTTTCAATGAAACTGGCAGCAGGCAAAGCAGATATTCTTGGTGAACTAAGGTTTGAAATGGTGTCTCCTTCCATTTGCATTTCTTCTATATCTCAGAGACATGACTTACCATAGAATGTGTTTCTATATGGACAAGTGAATTGTTCTTCCTCTAGTCCAACAGGTGACTGCTATTTTAGTTGCCATTGCTAAAGGCTTCATTCAACCATCACTGTTGTACTAGACACTGTACTTGACAAGAGGGGTGTTGACCTGAGCAAGATGAGCACCTAGCCAAGAAGTAGAGGGAGGGAGCAGTATCCAGGCTGGATTACTGCAGAAGGCTTTAAACTGCTCTCTCTGCTTCTCAGCCTCACTCTATCATATAGTATTCCACAAAGTAACAATAACAATCCTGATAATATAACTTAGGTTGGGTCATTTCTCTGTTCAAAACTTTCAGGGTCTCTAATCTCCCTCCCCATAAAAGCTTAGTCCCTGCAGTGGCCTGTGCGTGTTTCACAGTCAGGACCCCTGTTCTTTTCAAATGTCATCGGGGACACTTGCTTTTCCCCTTCCTCCATGCCAGCCATGAGGATTTTTCTTGTTCTGTGAACTCACCAAGCACTCTCAATGCAGGACCACTGCATTTGTATTTCTCATGACCTGAACTGCTTTTACGTTTTGTGTTTCAGTGTCTCACTTGCTTCTCAAAAGTTCACTGGAAAGACTTTCCCTGACCATCCTATAAATGGCATCCCTTCCCTTATCTCGAGTGCTTACTATAATGTTGAATCTGTTTTATCTTTCTGTATATATTCAATTATTTGTTGCCAGTATCCACTTTCCCCACTGAAAAATGTAAGCTTCATGAAGGCACTTATTTTCACAAAAGAAATATTTAGTTGCCTATAGTATCCCCTCAGTCTACGTGTATTATATATTTTATATTATTTATTTATATTATATATATTTATATTATATATTTTATAATATAAAAATGTTATTTTTTTTAACATTCCAGGGAATGCATTCTAACACATATGTTTTTACATTCCAAGATTTAGGTTTATCCCCTTTCAAACATTTCCCAATATTTGTTACCCTTGGGCCTTCCAGCATCTGGAATTTTCCTTGATCTCTAAAGGAATATGGGTGGATTTCACAATTTCTTTTGAAAGCTCTGTAAAAATTCGGGCTAGTTACTCAGGTGCATTCCACTTACATCAATTCCTCTCTCACCTTACCTTCTTGCATGGGAATGAGAAGTAGCAGCCAGGTCCTAAAAACCAGAGACACAGGCCTTAGGGAAAGAAAGCCCTGAAATTAAATTATTGACAAAATGATTACAGAAACCTCTATACCTGGTTACACAAAGCACTGATTATTTTAATTTTAACACTGGCAATGGGGCAAATTTGCTGTAGGTAGATTGGGTTCAAAGTCAAGCAAATATATATATTTTTGATAGCAAAGTGATTTTTGGTTTGAGTGTCACTGAGCTAAGACTCCTCAGCTCTTTGCTGCCTACAGTGAACACCTTGCCCAACCTATCCAGACCCAAAGCAAAAGGGCAGAGACAGACAGAGGGCAGGTAAATACCAGTGAAGTGAAGAGAAAATAAGACAAATTACCAGGGACTGTGGGAAATGTTAATTGACGTATGAAGAAAGCATAGTCCTTAGGGAAAGAGGCTCTTTACTCTAGAGGGAACCCCCCACTGATGGCTTCAGATAGTGTTAATTTAAAAGAAGCAATTTGATATTAGTGAGATAAACAACTAACAGGAGTCTGAAACCAAGGAGGTATCATTTTTTATTAAAATATTTATTTCTATTTATTTGCATGTTATAACTAACATAATTGTGGGATTATTCTTACATATTCACACATGCATGTGGCTTACAGTATAATCTGGTCATTATGGCTCCCCAGTATTTCTCCTTTCCCTACCATGAGGAGGAACCATTCATAAAACAAGTCCCATAGCCGGGGTGGAAAGCACTGAAGACTGGACTGGCACCTGGGAAGGCACTGGGGAGGAAGGAAAAGTGCTTCAGAAGCAGGAAGGAGTCCAGGGTGACTCTTGCAGGAGGAAAACCTGCAGCGGCCAACTCAGGCTGGGTGTGTGGCCCAGGCGACTTTTTTTTTTTTTTTTAAGCTTCTGTGTGCATTATAAGATAAGGTGGTAGGTCTTCAGTTCCCTTCTGTCCTCCCACCTGCTGACATTCCTAAATAGGGGCTGGATTCTGTTCCTGCACTGTCTGCACTGGGGTTAGGCAGACAGCAATGGGGAGGCTTGTACCAGACAAGTGGGAAAGACAGGCAACCTACTCTAAGCAAGTCGAGGAGGAGTCCCCAGGTTTCCTATTTCTCCGGATAATCAAACAAAGAAATAGGTGGTCCTGGACTCACAGAATTTTCCTGGAAGTTCAGCCAGCCTGGACGCGTCCTCCTCGCATTATTTAAAGCTACCACTAGGTGGCGCCAGACCACCGTGAAGTGTGCAATTCCTGGCCTGTTCAGGGTGCTTGAGAACCCCAGCGGTGTTTTCTTTAATCAAGCAATAATAAGGTCCTATATTTCACACAATTGAAATTTTAGACTGCATTTAATGTATACTGTAAGCTGGATATCCTTTAATATTATAGTTGCCTCACAAAGAATGTAATGATAATTCTATTTTACTAATGAGAAAGTGGAGTTTCAAGAAAGTTAATTAGTTAAATATCTTGGCCAAAGTCACTAAATTAATGAGGAACTAGAATTCTGACACTAGATTTCTGATTTCCTCTAAGCCTAACTACCAATCTGAGGTTTGGGGTGGAGAAGCTGCTCTCATTTTGTGGAGATGCCTGGTAACAATATTCTTTCCAGCCTCAGCCCTCCTTTTAACATTAAGTTTCTGGCTGTTGAGACCCTCTGAGCGGCCTCAGTGTAATGCAGGGAGGAAGGCAATAGCTCATCCCTTCCCAGGAGAGAGAAAAATTGAGTGTGGGTAAGTAGGTCTCATACCTCGAGACTACTATTCTGGTTAAGGAAAGGAGTGGGAAAAATCTCCTTGGACTCTCAGAAATAACATGTCTGTATACCTAGTAGGTTGACATAGCTATTAGTAAATCAAGGCCCTGGAGTATAAAAGAAAATTGCTCACAATTTCTTAATCAGATCTGACATGAGGTCTTTTTGATTCCCTTCTTATAGGATTTCTCCATCGACTTTGCTTCTATTATCCTTTATTCATACCATTATTGTAGCATTTATTAAAATTTGTGTTTTTTAACGTGTGTATTCTCAATTTACATCAAGTTCTTCAAGAGCAGGGATTATGTATTATTCTTTATTTGCTCCGCATTAAACATGACACATTAATTTGAATTTTATCCCTTTATTTGGTCATTCAATTTAAATTCAAGATTATAATTTGACCAAATTTACTGTCTTAGAGATGTAGTATGTAGATCTTGCTTGAATCTAGGTGAATTCACTCCTGGGATTCAAACTTGTTTTGTGTGTGGAAGATGAGAGGCTGAAAGTCTTTCATAACCCATTGTGTAGCCATTCAGGAAAACACTCATCCTAAGAGAAGAGAGAAATGGGCAGTGAACCTTGCCCTGCCTACAAAACTATAGTCCTCAAAAGTTGTAGGCAAGGTTCTGGATATTAATAATAATATAATTTATTAATGATAAACAGGGTGTTTATCATTAATCCTTGTCCTCTATTCCAGACCTATAGACTTCTGTCTGAATCCAAAGAAAGGTGCATTCGGTAGGCCCTTTGGCCGTTTTGATCATTCAGGTGAACTCCAATAATGTCAGTCTATTACATGCTGCACTAAATAGTTCTCAGGGCTCACAGTGCGCCATGTCGGGGAAATCACCCTTGCTGGGGGAGTTATAAGATGTGCAAATTCTTGGGTTCCATTTAAACTCAATGAAACAAAACCCCTAATGGTGGAGACTTACAATCTGTGTTTTAAAGCCATTCAAGTGATTCTGGTGCATTATCACATTGGAAAACCACTGGGACGTAAAGAAAAGCAGATAAATTTGTCAGAATTTCTGTAATAACCATACTTTACAGAAAACTGAAACACGACTTGCACACTGGAACTTTTGTCAGGATCCACATAGTCTTAGCAACTGGAGTCAATTGTCCCTCACTTGAATGCTCCACCATAAATGAGATGTAGACTCTTGTTAGAAATTGAAGAAAGACTTTGATGGTTTTAGATGGTAGACAGGCTAACATCCCAGGAATCCCAAATCCAGCTTTGACAATTACTCTTGTTACATGAGAAGAAAAACAGAGAAGTGGGAGTATAATGTTAGTATTACTCTCTTAAAACTGAAAGCAGTACCTAAAGGCTCCCTTTGGCAAAGTTCTAATACAAGTTGGATTGGAGCATACAGTAGACCTAGGCAGAGTTCACATACCCAATTTGCCTCTGCCTATGGTAAATACTGCCAATTATCTTTGCAATATCAATTCTCTCTTTTTCATTACCAACAGGACTCCATATTTATTGGGCATGTCAATATTCCCATCTTAAACAAACAAACAAACAAACTGCATTTACCTTCTTTCTTCCAGATAGAGGTGGCTTCTGAGACACAACAAAAAGTAATTGGGTGGGATTTCTTAGAAAACCTCTGTTGCTTTTCTTTCTTTATTTGCCCGAACTTACTTGTTACAGTTGGACCCCAACCATTAGGGAAAAGCCCAAATAATCTCAAAGTTCTCACTCTGAATTCCTTGAGTAGCTGAAACCACACCAGCACTTTCTCTTCTTCAGGCTTCTCATTATGTGATGAAGGTAAACTCCTCAAGTCTTTAAGCCTCAATTCTTAGGTCACAACTATTGGAAGCTGAACACAGTATGAAATCTATAATTTGGGACTAGAATGCTCAAGAGTGTGGAGAGAGGGAGAGGGAGAGGGAGAAGTACACATGGGGAGAGACAGAAGTGTTCACACTTACCCAGTTACTTGGAGGAGAGAAAGAAGAGAACTTGCTGGAAAGAAGGGTCCGAAATCTACTTGTCTGTCTAATCATATAGAACCAGGAAGTGGACTGGAGAGGCCAACATGCTTCCTGTCTAGATTTGCTGGTCACGAAGAGGCAGAAACAGGAACTACAAGAGAGGAAACAAAATAAATGATATCTCTACCTCCTGTATTTTAACAATTTTGTTTTTGCCACAAGTAATTGTCAAAGTGATGTGGGTAGAGTACTCAGAGATGGGGCCAAGGATTCTTTTGCCCAGTTCTTATTTCTGTTTATCTTTTATTTATTTATTTAAGTACCAGGGATTGAACTCAGGGGCACTTGACCATGGAGCCACATCCCCAGACCTATTTTGTATTTTATTTAGAAAGAGGTCTCACTGAATTGCTTAGCACCTTGCTTTTGCTGAGGCTGGCTTTGAACTTGCAATTCTCCTGCTTCAGCCTCCTGAGCCACTGGGATTATAGGCATGCACCACCATGCACAGCTGTTTCTCTGTCTTTTCATTTTATTATTGCTAATAATTAATTCTGCTAACAATTATCTCTATGTCTTACATTCAGAAAGAGAATCTGTGAGGTCTAGTTGTCAGATAGGAAGATGCTTTGTAAGCTGCCAATTAAGAATTGGCTATCTTTGGGTGAGGTGCCCATCCCTGATAGAGTGAACTTTGATACCAACATGGAATCTTGAGATTAGGCACATAAAGAAGATCACATTCCTTGGCAGGATCTGTGGGTAGGGATTCCTTTAGAGGGACTTCTGGATTCATTTTTAAGTTTTATTTTATCCACAGACATGAGATAAGAGAGAGGAGATTTTAGGTAAAACTGACAGAGTTGAAAGATCTTGGATAACAAACCCTGCTTTGTTTATCTCTAATAGGGATAACATAGAAAGAACGGTAAGTGAACACTGTGTAGCACTGTGTTTTTGAGAACTCTTTCTGGCTAACACTGGAATTCAAGTGGTGCCCAGATGGAGACAGTGTGGACATGGTTGTTCCCAAAGAACAGAACAGGAAGAGGAAGTACACAGGACAAGGAGGCCAAGTCAATAGATGAAAATGATAGAATAGAGCTCACACTTTGGCATAAGACACTGTCAGTAAATTTAAGATGTTCATTATAGAGGGGAGGGGAGGGGGGATAGTAGGGGATAGGAAAAGTAGCAGAATACAACAGTTACTAATAGGGCATTATGTAAAAATGTGGATGTGTAACCGATGTGATTCTGCAATCTGCTTTTGGGGTAAAAATTGGGAGTTCATAACCCACTTCAATCTAATGTATGAAATATGATATGTCAAGAGCTTTGTAATGTTGTGAACAACCAATATAAAAAAAAAGATGTTCATTATAACTTTAAACAGTTTTCCTCTGGGTGTGAGACTAAAAGAAAACATACTTAGCAGGGGTTCATTTTAGGGGAATCTCTGCAAAATTTAGTGTTTTGTATTGAAAAAAATCATATAAATTTGCATATTATTATATTTACTGCCACATTTTTCATAATCAAAATTTTTTATTGAAATCACTATTCTTCTGCAATGATCTTGGATTAAAATTGAATTTCCAAGAAAATGCATTATGCATCTCCCAGTATGCTACCACATACTTATAAGGGTACATGTCTCCTGATCTAAAAAGCTATAATCCTGTGGGATGCCACAAGTCATAGGGACTTTGTGGATATATGCAGATCCTCCAATTGTGAGTGATTGTAAAAGTGAGAAAAACACAAATGACAGGAAGAACTTCTGGATTCATTTTTAAGTTTTATTGCTCATAGGATCAACTGAAGTGGTTAGAAATTTTCAGTGGTGTTAGTGGACAAAGGGAGACAATGACAGCTTTCATTGCAGGGCTAGTAGGAACCATTTGGTTACATGGCACAGAAACTGGCTAGAAGTAAGGGCCTGGGAGGTGATGAGGGTGATGATGATGATGGTAGTAATAGTAAAAATACTTTGGGTGAAGATTTGGGAAAATCACATAAGATTAAAGATTAAGTTGTACATCAGCCTTCACAGAAATTGCAAAAATACTGGTACTTCATTGCTCCATTTATGCTTCTTGGGGTTTTGTACTAGTCTATTTTTTAGGTAAAACTAAATACCCATGGCAAGTTAACTCTATGATGAAAATAGTCCCATGTGGGAGCTTGAAAGTCCAAGTAGCATGGCACTGACTCAGCGAGGGCCCCTCTGGTTGCATCACATGGTGGCAGATGGCATTATGGTGGGAGTTTTATAAAAGAGTAAAAGAGAGAAATCACAAGGTGAGACAGAAAGTTAAAGATCAGGGAGGGTCCAGTCTTGCTCTTGTAACAACTCTCTTTGAAGTCCTGTGAGAACTACATTAATTCCTTCCAAAGGCAACTCCAGTGACTCGATGACCCCACATTAGCTCCACTTCTTAAAGGTTCCATAGCTTCCCAACATCACCTACTGGGCAAAAAGCCTCCAACACATGACTCCGTAGGGGACAAACTGTATCCAAATTGAATAGTATCCTATTTTTGCTACTCTCTACATATGTATTCCATTCTCCATTCTCTCTCTCTCTCCCTCTCTCTCTCTCTCTCTCTCTCTCTCCCTCTCTCTCGGTACTGGGGATTGAACTCAAGGGCACTCCACCTCTGAGCCACATCCCCAACCCTATTTTGTATTTTATTTAGAGACAGGGTCTCATTGAGTTGCCTAGTGCCTCACCATTGCTGAGGCTGGCTTTGAACTCAAGATCCTCCTGCCTCAGCTTCCAGAGCTGCTGGGATTGCAGGCATATACCACCATGCCTGGCTATTCCATTCTCTTTTGGGGAAAAATACATTTATTAATGGGCTGGGATTGTGGCTCAGTGGTAGAACACTTGCCTAGCAAGTGTGAGACACTGAGTTAGATCCCAAGAATCACATAAAAAAACTAAATAAACAAAATAAAGGTATTGTGCCCATCTACAACTAAAAACATTTAGAAGTATTTATTAAAACTCTTGAATTTGTGCCTGT